AAAAGGCAGGCAAGAAGGAAGTGCTAAAGTCAACAAGATTGGAGGGGAAAAGATAGAAAGATCTTTCACCCGCTGGTTCACTCCCAAGTGGCTACAATGGCCAGTGCTGAGCTGATCTGCATCCAGTAGCCAGGAGCCTCTTCCTGGTGTCTCACATGAGTGTAGGGTCCCAAGGCTTTGGACCAGCTTCTGCTGCTTTCCCAGGCTACAGGCCACAGGGATCTGCATGGGAAATGAAGAAGCTGGGATATTAACTGGCACCATATGATCCTGGCACATGCAAGGTGAGGATTTACCCACTGGGCTATTGTGCCGGGCCCACCTACATAGATTTTTATATGTACCTTGCTACTAAGAGAAAGCCAAGATGACATACTCAGTCTTAAAATGATGGCAATCCAATTAAGTGTCAGCACAACTGTCTTTATTTGATGCTCTTCAGATCTAACGTCCTTCCAGAATTATCTCCCTTATACTTTGATGTATGATGGCGCTTTGGAACTTTGGCTATCCTGAAAAGTCTGAACCTTCACTGTACTTTGACAAATGAAGTTGAGGCAGACATTTGGCCTATGGTTAGTGCATTTGGGGATGCCCATATTCCATAGTGGAGTTCCTGGTTTTAAGTCCACCTTCACTGCTGATTCCAGTCCTTGCTAATGCACAACCTGGAAGTCAGCTCAAGCAGTCAGGCTCAAGTAGTCAGGCATGGGAAACATGGATTGATCTGCTGCATCAGCCCTTGCTAAGTTGGCATTTGTGGAGTGAGCCAACAGATGGGAGCTCTATCTTGCTGTGCTTTTTGGGTGGGTAAAGTAAATAATTTTTAGAAAGCTAAACCTAGATCCCAACGCGGTAGTTTAGTGGCTAAAGTCCTTGCCGGTTCTAATCCCAACGGCCCAGCTTCCCATCCATCTCCCTGCTTGTTGCCTGAGAAAGCCATCAAGGATGGCCCAAAGCCTTAGGACCCTGCACATGCGTGGGAGACCCAATTCAGCTCACATGAGGCCAAAGGTTTTGCAGCCCTGCCCAGCTGTGTGTCCCCATTCTTACTCAGACTCTCCAGTGGGAGTGGTGGTCCAGCATGGGAGCCCCAAGCAGCCCCCTTACTGGCTTCACACCTCCCCCGCCCCACTTCCTTCTTGGTCACACGTGTGCTGGTTCGGTGCTGTGACCCAGTCTGGCAAAGCCCTTTTCACCTCGCGTTTGTCAATGGATGCTGTAGCCTCTCCAGGCCCGCTCCACCTCCAATTCCAGCTTATGCTGGTGAGGGACTACAGCGTAGCCTGGTTTAGCTGACCTTCAATCCTAGCCCTCATACGAACTGGGTTGTGTTGCAACCCAACCCAGCCTGATTCACACTTCATTCTGGTGCTCGGATTCACCAGCTGGTGATATGAATTAGCCCAGCTTGTTTCGCTCCCTAACTGCATGCAACATATGACAATGACAATGACAATGGATACCATTCCCTGGCCTCGTCTGCACTGCTCCTTTGTTCTATACTTGCACTCACCTGCAGGGACTTTGTCCTGATAGAGGATTTCCCCAAGATCTTCCATCAGAACCTCTCCTAGTGCCAGATCTTCTGACCATCGGTAGGTGGGTGATCCAGGAGCCAGCCCTACTGAGTCCACCTCTTGTTCTAGCAGTAACAGTGACCTTTCCTGATCGTCCCTCACCCATTCTTGTTTTTGCTATTGGGTGTTACAGCCTAGCCAAGCCTGGTCAACACCCAGACACAGCTCATACATGGCTCAGTAGGGGCAGAGACCTAGCCCAGCCTGTCCTACACCTACGCAGGTTCTCACAAGCACCAGTGGATGCTGGAATCTAGCCCAGTTTTGCACATCAGACCCAGTCCACACTTGTGCCAAGGGACACTGCAGCCATATCCAGACCAGAATACAGCCCCCATTTCAGCTCCCACTCACCAGTGGAAACCACAACCCAGCCAGGGAGTCCCCTTTGCTTCCAACCAGGCCTATTCCCAGTTCCAGATCTTGCATGCATGCCAATGGTTGCTCTGTCCTAGCATCACATAGTCCCTCACCTCTTAGCCTTTGCCATTGGATGCTAGAGCATGTCCTGGCCCAGCCTGACCCCTGTCCCAACTCTTGCTGGCAGGTGCTGTAACCTGGCCCTACTCAGTTCACTCCCATCCCTGACATGCAAACTACTATATGTGGCAGCCTAGCCCAGCATGACCCACATTCCAGCCTGGCTGCTGCACTTACTAATGAGCTAAGGTTGGTCTGGCCCTGTCAGGTCCACCCCCTTCCAATACCAACCCATGTATTGACCATCTGTTGGAGCTACCTTGCCCAGTTGCCTAAAACTCCCAGGCCTGTAGCACATTCTCACCAGCAGGAACTATGACTCAAAGGGGAATTTCCCATGTTCCTCCCTGCCCCCCACTTGACCCACTGCCATATCCAGATCTCACACATGCCAAGGGGTGTTAGGCCCTTGCCCAGCCTGCCCCTCTTGGCCTTGTATGCCTGGTGATTGTTGTGGCCCGGAACACCCCACACCGTTTTAGGATGTACATGGGGTGCTTCAGCCTGGTCCTGCCTACACTATTCTTGTTCTGTACCCATGAGTGTTGCAGGTTCCATGTTCACACCTAGTTCAGCCCATCATCACCCCACTCTTGAGCTGACCAATGGGACTTGTATTTCCACAGGGTTGGGTCCACATATCCCCCACAGAATTTACCCCTGGTTCTCTTGCATGCTGATTAGTGATATGACCCTGCTAAGTGACCTTCCCCTGTTCTGACATTCAGTCTTGTACTAGTATCTAGCCTTGCTAGACTGGCCCCAAGCCCTAGCTTTTGTGTAGACTGGCATGTGGTGGTCAGCAATCTTCCATGCAAACAAACCCTACTCAGGAATCCCATGTGGGATGGCATATCAGTCTGACTCATACAGATCTTCTGGACTCTCCCCTCCAAATCACCAGGTCTCAGACCCCTCACTTACCTGCAGGTGCAGTGGCCCTGTCACTGGGAGTCCCTCAGGATTCATTTCTTACCCTCATATACAGTGGCCTTATCCATAGATGTCCCTAGGCACAAATACTACCTCCTCAACACCCCAGAGCTCGCTGCTGGGCTCAAGCCCTGTATTCACCCACCACTTGGCATCAGTTGCTGGGCCTAGGGTCCAGGCATTGACTCCGACCTGGCTCAGATGCCTCCTTCAGCCACCACGCTGCCAGGTGGTCCCATACATCCAAGCCCCGAGGTCAAACTCACTTGCCACTCCTGAAAATGGTGGGAGTGGAGAGTAGTTAATAATATTAAAGAAGAGTTGAAAAATGACAGTAGTGTAAGACAAACAAGACTTTGGGGCTGGTATGATAGCTCAATTGGCTGATCTGCCTGACAAGTGCTAGCATCCCATGTGGTCATGGTTCATGTCCCAGCTTTTCCACTTCCCATTCAGTTCCCTGCTTGTGGTCTGGGAAAGCAGTAGAGGGCGGCCCAAAACCTTGGGATCCAGCACCTGCATGGGAGACCCAAAGGAGGCTCCTAGTTCTGGCTTCAGATGAGCTACGCTCTGGCCATTGTAGCCACTTGGATAGTGAACCAGCAGAAGGAAGATATTTCTGTTTCCTCTCTGTAAATCTGCCTTTCAAATAAAACTAAATACATTTTTTTTTAAAGATTTATTTTTATTATTTTTTATTGGAAAGGCGGATATACAGAGAGGAGAGACAGAGAGGAAGATCTTCCGTCCGATGATTCACTCCCCAAGTGAGCGCAACGGGCCGATACTATGCCGATCCGAAGCCAGGAGCCTCTTCCGGGTCTCCCACGCGGGTGCAGGTTCCCAAAGCCTTGGGCCGTCCTCGACTGCTTTCCCGGGCCACAGGCAGGGAGCTGGAAGGGAAGCGGGGCTGCCGGGATTAGAACCGGCGCCCATATGGGATCCCGGGCGTGCTAGGCGAGGACTTAACCACTTGCGCCACCGCGCCGGGCCCCTAAATACATTTTTTAAAAGAAAGTTTTTTTGTCAAAAATCTGAAAAGAGTATGCCACTTTATTTTGTGTTTCTGCTTTAACTTGGAAGCATAATTCTTGACGTTGGCCCTAAAGGATTATTTCTAAGAGGAAAATGAAAGCAGCCAGATATGGATGCAGATTTACTCATTTTAATTCAGATGTGCAGATGACATGAAGTTTTTTACACAGAACTTTCATGTCCTTCCTTTGAGCCCCTCCCCTATGGTAAATATGGGGTGGGGGAGAAATTACATGGAGGGATTTTCATGACTTACTGTCATCTGGATAGACAGAGTCTGGCTCTTTCATTGTGTAGACCTCCTATTGACCTCTAAAAGCAGCTTGTAAATTAGGCTATCAAGTTTTCCCTGGCCTGGTCACAACCCAGTTATTCCCTAAACCGATAGTACCTCAGTTCTCCTGGGTATGAAGAACTCAGGTTCCATGACACAGTTTTGTCTCCAGTTGTCCAACATAGGTTAGGTTGCAGGTATGTCACATGCCACCCACTGCAGCTTGAGGCAGATGGACAGCCTGGGAAAGCGAACTGCATTGCTGAAACTTCCTTTAAGGTAACTGTTGTAGTCTACTCTAAACAACATGATGGCAGGTATTGGGGTACAATAATGAAGCTGCCAGTCTGGATGCCTGGAATCAGGGTGTCTCAGCTTGCTTGTGCTCCAGTTGATGCCCACTCTGGGAGGCAGCATCTGACAGCTCAAGGACTGGGATCCCTATCACCCAAATGCTGCCTTTGTATAACAGAAGCGTAATATGTGCTTAGTTAAGAATTCTGTGCCAGTGAGTGAGTTGCAGTCCACTTGCTGTTGGTTCATCTCCCTGGGTCCTTGTCACCCATCTGATCTCCTGTCTAGGTGTCAGGCTCCTGGATTTGGTTTGGTCCCATGCTGGCTGGTTGTAGGTACTTGAAAGATTGCTCTGTCACTCTGCCTTTCAAATTAAGAAAAATTTCAAACATCTGTAGTGAACTTTACCTAAATGCTGTTTTATTATTTGGTTATATTTTCATTGTAAAGGGAGTTAATCTAGTTCCTGGGTTTCTTTCTCCAAAGTTAAAGATTTCAGTCTGTATTAGCAAATTTATTATACAAAATTACAGAGTTTTTCACAATGCAGTTAACAGATCTTAATGAAGTCATATCCTGCAAACATTTGACAAAGCAGTTAGTTCTAATTTATGAAAGGAAACATATTTCATAGAGCATAAAACACTTTTAGCAATAATTAGGCAAATGATGAGGTTACTTCAGAGCTCTTTTTTTTATAAGTGAAGACCTACTGGAACAAGTGCAAAACCTGAATTAGATGCTGGGCTGTAGGCTTCTCCATAAGTTGGTGTCCAATAATAGTGCTTTTTAAGACCATTGGAGACTTCTGCAAGATACACACGTCCATCGACCACAAATGGCTCCACATCTGTATTGTCTGGTTTTAGATAACTCATTTCAATTAAATCTGAATATGCCTAGAATTTTTAAATAAAAGAAAATTGATTAATAATGTATTCAATTTTAAATTAAATTTGCAAATCAAATACAAAATTTCAAATGAGCTATGCTGATTTGTAAGTTAAAAAGCTATTCAAGGGCCAGTGTTTTAGCATAACATGTGAAGCCACTGCCTTCTATGCCTGCATCTGGGCGGTGTTTGAGCCCCGGCCACTCCACTTTGAATCCAGCTCCCTACTAATGCATCTGGGAAAGTGGAAGATGACTCAAGTGGTTGGGTTCCTGCACCCATGTAGGATGCCTGGAAGAGTGTCCTAGCTCCTGACTTTGGCCTGAAGTAGCGCTGGCCAGTGTGTTGATTTGAGGAAGTAAACCAGTGAACCAGGAACATTCCCTCTCTGTAAGGGTGCCTTTAAAAATAAGTAAAACTAAACCTTAAAAAAATTCTGATTTTTCATCACTTCTCGGCCTTTTGGCTAAGACCAAGTGTAAACAAATTCTGGTTTTATTATTTTATTATTCACATAATTTAATATCTTACATAATTTAATATTTGGTTTTAATATTTTATAGATTTTATAGAGATTCAGTTACACAATGAAGTTCTAATATTATAAAACATTTTTTAAAGATTTATTTGTTTTTATTGGAAAGTCAAATCTACAGAGAGAAGGAGAGACAGAAAGCTCTTCCATCTGCTGGCTCACTCCCCAAGTGGCCACAATGGCTGGATCTGAGCTGATCTGAAGCCAGGAGTCAAGAGCTTCTTTCAGGTCTCCCATACAAGCTCAGGGTCCCAGGATTTTGGCCGTTATCTACTGCTTACCCAGGCAACAGGCAGGGAGCTAGATGGCAAGTGGAGCAGCCGGGATATGAACCAGCACGCCCAAATGGGATGCCGGTGTACGCAAGGTGAGGACTTTACCACTAGGATACTGCACTGGAGCCCAAAGGTGGCAGCTTTATCTGATATGCCACAACACAGGCCACCACTAATTCACACTGAAGTTAGGATAACTCTGTCATTTCAGGGGAGAGAAACCTTTTCTTTTTCTTCCAAGGGGCTTTGAATATTTATAACATCATATGGGTGCTATACAAAATTGTCAACTTAAAAATTAGCCTGGCCTTGGCAGGGCCAGACTAAATGATTTTCCGAGTCCATAGATGAAACATTCCTTATCCTCTGTGAGACGCTGATCTTAACTGTCTTCCATGCAGAAATTTCCTTATATATCCCTTAGGGATCTTTGATAACTACGTAAAGGAATAATACAAACAAGTTGAACTGCTTTGTCAATAATAGAAAGTGTGCAGAAATTTAGAGATTAAAACATTTTAAGATTTGCCTGCTTTTGTGTTCAGTTTATCACTCATTACTAGTTCCAGATTCAACCAGCTTCTAGTATGCAACTAAAAGGATATCAGTGTTATTCTAAAGTTACATGTTTTTAAGATACTAGAGCACTCACTTTTTAAAAAAAAATTTTTTGTTTTTGAATGATAGACTTACCTTCCATTCACTGTTTCAGCTTCTCTAATGCCCACACAGCCAGCAGAAGCTAGGAGCCCAGAATTCAACTCAGATTTCCCACATGCACTCGAGTCACCATCTGCTGCCTCCCAGAGTGTGCATTCATGAAAAAGCTGGATTGAAGCTCAAATCAGATACTCCAACATGGGCTGCAGGTATCCCAAGCGTTAACTTAGGTGCCAAATACCCTCCCTAGTGGTGCACATTTCATTATTATTTTTAGTGGTGAAATGCTAGCTAATGCTTTTGCAAACTTGGAAATTTTTAATTGTAAGTTTTCCTGTTATTTTGATTACAAAAACCACAGTAGCACTTTAAGAATCTTGTGTGTGAAGTAAACATTTTTTCTGGGTACTTGTTTGAAAACAAAAAGCGTAACAGCTTTCTTTTTATTTGAGACAAGATGCGGAGACCTAGAGCTCCAATCCAGAAGTCTTGTCCCCAGGTCCCTTCAAAAACCAGTGGTGGGTGAATGCCAACATTAGGATCAAGGAGCTCAGACCAAGTCTTCCATATGGGACCCTAGAATCAGGACCCAGCACTGGAAGTTGATGCCAGGCACCCTGATGCAGGAGATGTATGCCTTAAGTACAAATCTCTAAGCCAGATGTCCACCAAACTAATTGTTTTTATAAGGAAAAATAAAATGAAGAAAAATTAGCTGTCAAAATTTGTATTTCTGTAACAACCTATATAACTTATGTAACATATATAGTATATAACTTATACTATAATCTCTTTAGTTACATATCAGTACAATTATTAGGGAATAGATGAGAAGTTTTGCACATCACTTCAAGAACTGTGGTTTCTAAACTTTTTTTTTTTTTTGCTTTAGAGGAACTAGGACTGTGTAAGTCTGATCTTTAATAGTATTTTGATATTTAACATCTTTCATTATTTCACCCATAAAACTTGCTACTAGTTAACTTTTAGGACTTATGTGAAAAAAATATCAAATTTACAGCATCTAGTTCAACTTTAATCATTTCTTTTATATATATATTTTTAAATTTAGTTAAAATTGATCAGGGTGGGGCCTGGCGCAGTGGCCTAGTGGCTAAAGTCCTCCCTTTGAACGCGCCGGGATCCCATATGCTCGCTGGTTCTAATCCCGGCAGCCCTGCTTCCCATACAGCTCCCTGCTTGTGGCCTGGGAAAGCAGTCGAGGACGGCCCAAAGCCTTGGGACCCTGCACCCGCATGGGAGACCCAGAAGAGCTCCTGGCTTTGGATCGGCGCAGTACCGGCCGTTGCGGTCACTTGGGGAGTGAATCATTGGATGAAGATCTTCCTCTCTGTCTCTCCTTCTCACTGTATATCTGACTTTGCAATAAAAATAATTGAATCTTTAAAGAAATTGATCAGGATGAAAAGGGTCGAGGATCATGGGAAAGTGGGCAAGACCACTGTTCATACACTTTCCCCTTCTTCCCCTTGTATTCGCGGGAGGGGAGGACACAATGGGAAAGACCATGTCCAGCCTCCCCAGTACCTGATGTCTTCCCAGGGTCCCCACTGCGGAGTCTGTTCTGAGGGTTCTTCCCAAGTGTCCTTGTTTGCTCCTGGATGCTGCCAATATTTATGCTCCAAGGACAAGAAAATCCTTCCAAGGTCAATTGGCTGACATAGTCCACCTCAAAGTCTCCATTTGCTCAGAAGCTTACCCTCAAGCTTCACTGGGGTAGTCAGTCAATCTGTTCTTCCATCCTTCCTCCGCAAACCAATGGGTGCTGTGGTCTAATTCAACACTGTCAGCCACATGCTCAGCCCACATGTACACCAGGGAGAGCTGCTACCCAGCCAGAGCAACCTCCAGTAACCCTGACTGGACTGACCCACAGCTCTGGTTTCTGTACCTGCCAGTATGTGCAGTGGACTGATCTGGTCCGTCTAACATCCCATTCAGATTTCATATACATCACTGGGCTTTGATGCCTAACTCAACCCAACCAAACCCACACTCACGCCACTGGGTGCCACTGCCTGTCCAGCCAGGCCCATCCCAGTCCCAGCCCCCATGCTCACCAGTGAGAGCTGTAACCCATCAGAGAGGTGCCCACAGTATCCCCACTGGGCTCACTCCCCACCATGGATCCTGCACTCTCCAGGCAGTTCTACAGTCTAGTTTGACAGGACTTGCCCCCAGACCCAGCACTTGCCACCTGGTGTTATGGTAAAGCTCAACTCACCTGCCCATACCCTGGCTCATACTTGCACCAATGGATACAATTGGTTGACCCAGCCTGGCTGTCTCCCTAACCCAATTCACATGTAGGCCAACAGGTGTCATAGCCCTGTCCAGCCTGGTCTGCCCCCAGTCCTAGCTCTCATGCTCATACTCCCCTACTGGGGTCGCAAACCTCCTCCCTGGTCTCGCATGTGTTGCTTGGTGCTGTATCCCAGTATGGCATGGCTCATCTCACCTGAGCATTTGCTGGTGGGTGCTATAGCCTTGGTCTGGCCCATCTGCCCCTGTTCCAGCTTGCGCTACTTGGTACTGCCACCCAACGCAGCACAGTCAGCCCTCAGTCCCAGCCCTAAGGTGAACTGGCTGGTGATGTGGCCAGACCAAGCCTTTCCTGTACCCCATCCTGGTTCTCAGATCTGCCAATGAGTGTTATGAACTAGTCCAGCCTGGCCCACCTCCATACCTGAGCCACATATGCAAGTACTGTAACTTGGTCTGCTCTGGGCTGCTCCTTGTCTTGCTCTTGCTCTCACCTGCAGGAACTAAGCCCTGGCAGAGAAGTTCCCCAAGCTCTTTTTATTGGGTGTCCTCCCAGGTGGCACATCTCATGCACACTAGAGAGTCCTTGACCTGGCCTGCTTAGTCTACCTCATGTCCTGGCAAAAACAGTAGCTTTGCCTAACTGGCCTACAACCAATCTTGTTCTTACTGTTGAGTGTTATAACCCAGCCACACCTGGTCCATGCCCTGACACAGCTCTCACATGGCCCAGTAGCAGCTGAAATCTAGTCCAGCTTTCCTACACCCATCCTGACTCTCATAAGCACCAGTGGGTGCTGAACTCTAGCCCAGTCTGGCACATCCCAGACCGTGTCCTCATCCATGCCAAGGGACATTGAAGCTATGTCCAACACAGATCACCACCTCCATTCTGGCTCTCACATTCACCAATGGGAACCACAATCTTGCCGGGGAGGGGCATCCCCTTAGCTCCCCAACCAGGCCTGTTCTCAGCCCCAGATCTTCCATATGCCAGTGGTTGCCCTGACCAAGCTCAGCATAGCCCATCCCCTATCTTGACCTTTGCCTTTGGATGCTGCAGCCTGGTCTGACCCAGGCCAACTCTTGCTGGCAAATGCTGCAACCTGGCCCTGCTCAGTTTGCTCCCATCCCTGACTCAGGTAAACCGATATGTGTGGCAGCTTAGCCCAGCATGACCCACATTCCAGCCTGGTTTCTGCACTTGCTAATGAGCTCAGGTTGGCCCTGTCAGGTCACCTCCTTGCAATACCTACTCACACACTTGCCAAGAGGTGGAGCTAGCTTGCCCAGTCTGACCAACACCCAGGCCTGAATCATATGCTCACCAGTTGGAGCTATAGCCACCAGGGGGAATCTCCCAAGTTCCTTCAACTGTCCACTCTCAGTTCCAGAGCTCACATGTGCCAGAGGGTGCTAAGCCCTTACAGGTCATTGACTGCCCCCTCCATCCCAGCCTATGTATGAGCGATAGCCCAGCCTGTCCCACACTGTATTCTTGGGTGTGCCAGTGGGTGTTGCAGTCTGGGCCAATCCAACCTGTGCCCCCTTCAAAACCACCACTGGGAGGACTGAGGGCTTTACAAGGTGCCATTTGGCACCCAGGCGACCCAACCTAAGCTCTGCTGCCTGGGACCTCATCCCTGGGGGAGGCCAACCCCTCCAGCTCTGAGTACCTGGCAGGCAAATGGGCCCAAGCCTTGTGACCTGAGCCCCCACCCCAGGATAAACCCACCCACCTGACTCCAAGCACACGGCTACCCAATGGGCCCTACCCTACAGAGCCAAGCCCTACCACCTGGGATCCCACCTCTGGAGTAGGTCGGCCCCTCCAGCTCCCAGACTTTAATAATTCCTAAGCTACCCATAAATAATATAATGTTATAGAGAAGGTGCTAGAGAAAGTCATCCGTGAGGGGAAAAAAACTTACCACACACGTAGCCTCATCAAATTTGTTTCCCCAAATGTAAATATTAGAAAATGTACAATTTGCTTTCAATGACTGTGAAAGTGCAACAAGGCCTTCTCCCTCTATATTGTTGCTGACTACTGACAACCTGTAGAAAAAAAAAATAACCCTGGAGACTAATATTCCACAAATAAATGTGTTTTTCTTACATACTTTAAAATATTTATTTATTGGAAACACAGAGAGAAAAGGAGACCTTTCATTGTACTGGCTGACTCCCACAATGTCCCAACAGCCAGGACCTGACCAGGCCAAAGCCAGTAGCCTAGAATTCAGTCAGGGTCTCCAGTATGGTGGCAGGGACCTACGTCCCTGAACAATCACCTCTTGCACCACAAGTTGCAGTAGTAGGCTCGTGTTGGGATTGGAACCTCTAACATGGAATGAACATATTCCAAGCAGTATTTCACCCACTGTATCAAACACTCACCCACCTTCAGTATGATTACATTACCCATCATAAAAATATTGGCCATACAATTCCTAAAATCCAAGAAATGCAGTTTTCTAGTTGGATGCATTTTCTTTCAAATTCACTCTTCTTTTGAAATGTATCACATTGAATGCTTATCATTGTCTTTTAAGAATTCAGGACAAAAAAACATTAGCAATCATAACTAGAATTCAAAGGTTTAAAGTTTTTTAAAGATTTATTTTTTAATTGGAAAGTCAGATATACAGAGGGGAGGAGATAGAAGAAAGACCTTCCATTTGTTGATTCACTCCCCAAGTGGCTGCAACGGCTAGAGCTGAGCTGATCCGAAGCCAGGAGCCAGGAGGTTTTTCCAGATCTCCCACATGGGTGCAGGGACCCAAGGCTTTGGGCAGTCCTCAAATGCTTTCCCAAGCCACAAGCAGGGAGCTGGATGAGAAGCAGGGCCTGCCAGGATTAGAACTGGTGACCATATGGAATCCTGATGTGTGCAAGACGAGGACTTTAGCATCCAGACCACCGCACCGGGCAAAGGTCTAGCTTTTGAAAAACACTACTTAGGAAAAACAAATTGAAAGTTTACTGCAATTTAATAATTTAATAATTTAATTGTGGTCCTCCCCCAAGGACCACAATGGCTGCATCACAAGTGGAGCGGCTGGGATTGAATCAGTGCTCTTACAGCTTGTACCACAATGCCACCCCCCTTGTCATAATCTTCAGAGTTAAGGGGTCTGAGGTTATTGTAAAAATTTAATTTCTCTTATTTTGATTAAATGTAAAAACATACTAACGCTTTAAGACTTCGGTTATGTGAAGTTAGAGTTTCACTGAGATACTTTGCTCCTGCGTTTTCAATTCTGTTGAAAGAAAGATCTATAACTTCCAGAGTAGAATTATGTTTCAGTACATCAGCCAAATACACCATTCCATCATGAGTTATTTTATTGCTAGGAAAGAAAAAAAAAAGCGTTGTATTTGAAAATCTGTAGTATATTCTTGCATTTACAATCATAAAATACTTGAACATTGTTACAATAAACAGTACTCAATTTTACTCAGTTTCTAACAAAGCCAATTAAATTTCACTGTTTTCATACTTGTTGAAATACATAAATTGCTTTTTCAAGTTATTTATGAAATATTAATATAAACTAAATATTAAAGGTTCAGATCTAAAAGGTTAGTGATAGTGGCTGCATTCTCTAGTTGTTGGAAATAATGTCAAGTAAAATAAACTATGTACAATGACTGTTAACATAGATTATTCTAATGATTTAACTTTTGAATAATAGGCACTTACCAGCTGACATCAAGGTACCGTAGACTACTGTTAAGATACAGTGCATCACATAACTGCTGTAAACCAGTATTTTTCATATCATGCTTACACAAATGTAGCTCAACAATAAAGTGGTTTTCTTTCAGCATGTGGCCTAGATGAATGGTGGACTCTTCCTAAAAATAGATATAACCTTGTTTCAAACATAAAATTTTGAAGTAGTGCACGTGTATTCCAAACATTCTGTTATTTATTTTTTAAAGGTTTATCTATTTGCTTTTAAAAGATTTATTTATTTTTATTGGGAAGGCAGACAAACAGAGAAGAGGAGAGACAGAGAGGAAGATCTTTCATCCAAAGGATCATCCCCAAGCGGCCACAAGGGCTAGAGCTGAGCCAATTCAAAGCCAGGAGCCAGGAGCTTTTTCCAGGTCACCCATGTGGGTGCAGGGTCCCAAAGCTTTGGACTGTCTTTGACTGCATTCCCAGGCCACAGGCAGGGAGCTGGATGGGAAGCAGGTCTGCGGGGACCAGAACCAGCGCCCATACGGGATCTTGGCCCATTCAAGGTGCAGACTTTAACCACTACTCTATTGCACTGGATCCAAGGGTTTATTTATTTGAAAGGCAGTTATACAAGAGCGGAGGGGAGGAAAACAGAGAGAGGGAGAGAGAGAGAGAGAGAGAGAGAGAGTGAGAGAGAGAGAGAACAAGTGTGTGTAAATCCATCTGTTGGTTCATTCTCCAAATAACTACAACAGCCAAGGCTGGGCCAGGTAGAAAGCCAGGAGACTAGAACTCCATGCAGGTCTCTCATGTGGATCCTGGAGCCCAAGAACTTGTGCTGTCTTCTACTGCTTTCCCGTCACATTAGCAGGGAGCTGGATCAGAAGTGGAACAGACAGGACTCAAACTGGCCCACATGATGCAAATGGTGGCTTAACCCATTGCACCAAAACACCAGCCCCCAAATTACTTTTTAAAACGCTACATAGGGCCCAGCGGCGTGGCCTAGCGGCTAAAGTCCTCGCCTTGAACGCCCCGAGATCCCATATGGGCACCAGTTGTAGTCCCAGCAGCTCCACTTCCCATCCAGCTCCCTGCCTGTGGCCCGGGAAAGCAGTCGAGGAAGGCCCAAAGCTTTGGGACCCTGCACCCGTGTGGGATATCCAGAAGAAGTTCCTGGATCCCAGCTTTGGATCGGCACAGCACCGGCCCGTTGCGCTCACTTGGGGAGTGAATCATCAGATGGAAGATCTTCATCTCTGTCTCTCCTCTCTGTATATCTGACTTTGTAATAAAATAAATAAGTCTTAAAAAAATGCTACATAAAGATCAATCTTAAGATTATCCTGGAGCAGGCATTTGGTCTAGGGGCTAGGATAACTCCATCCAACAGTGGGGTCCCTGGGTGGGATAACCTGCTCCAACTCTGGACTCCAGCTTCCCGCAAGTGTAGACTGCAGGAGGCAGTGATGCTATCGAGGTGACTGGGTTCCTGCACACATCTAGGAGACTTGGCCGGTGTTCCCAGTTCTTGCTTCATAGCTCCTGGTTCACTCCCCCAGTGCTTGGCACAGACTTAAGCCAGAAGCCCAGAACACAAAAGGCTTCTAATGACTAGAAAGCAAAAGTAAAGCCTATTTAGGAATTTGGGCATACAATACTGTAGACATCAGAGTCTTCTGTCTGTCTCAATGGATCTCTCAGTTTGCCCTTCAAATAAATACAAGTAAAAAGAATATTAATAATAATAATTAAAAGATTATTCATCTAACTTGCACTTGACCTATCTTAATTCATCTTTATAAATGTAAATGCAATTACTAAATGATTAAGGGGTAGGCACTGCGGTACAAGGGGTTAAGATACTGGTTGGGGTGCCAGCATGCCATATGCAGTTCAAGTTCTTGTCTTGGCTCCTTACTGTCTGATACAGCTAAAATGCCTGGAAGGATGGGCATGGCACAGTAGCCTGACGGCTAAAGTCCTTGCATCCCATGCACTAGGATTCCATATGGATGCCAGTGCATGTCCCAGTGGCCTGACTTCCCATCCAGCTCCCTGCTTGTGGCCTGGGAAAGCAATCAAGGACAGCCCAAAGCCTTGAGATCCTGCATTTGTGGGGGAGACCCGGAAGAAGCTCCTGGCTCCTGGCTTTGAATCAGCTCAGTTCCGGCTGTTGTGGCCACTTGGGGAGTGAATCAGCGGGTGGAAGATCTTCCTCTCTGCCTCTCTTCTTCTTTGTATATCTGACTTTCTAATGAAAAAAAAAATCTTCAAAGAATACTCATAAATCACTGGCACCGTATCTTCAACACTCACGTCAGGCTCCTGATCTCAATGTCCTGTTAATGCAGACCCTGGGAGGCAGCCTTGATAAGTCATGTAATGTAGCTTGCCACCCTGCTGCCCAGATGGGAGACTTGCATTGAGTTCTTGGCTTCAGGCTTCGTCCCCAGTCAAAATATGTTCCAAGAGTTTGGAGTGGGAACCAGAACATGGGAACATTTCTCTCAATCTTTAATCAATCTTTCTTTCTCTCCCAACCCTCAGCCTCATCTCTCTGCTTCTCAAACCAGTTTAAAACAAAAGAAAAAGTTAAATAAGGTTAATTCTCTCTTTTTAGAAAAAGGCCCAAGTTCATCTGAAGATTGAACTTTAAATGAACATTTGAACACTGAACTTGGATGTTGACTTTTGCACAGTACAGAATGCTTTGACATTTACCTTGTCTTTTAGGAGCAATAACTGTTTTTGAGCTGCTGTTCCCTGGCTATTGCCTGATGGGAGGGGAAGGCTGCCCCAGAGGATATTAAGCAGGGAGAAGCCTTGGAAACAAAGACTGTGCTTCGCCCAACTCTCTGTCTCTAGCCAACAGCTTACTTAGAGATAAGACCAAGTCCAAATTTCTCCAAGATTTAGTAATGGTTCAATTGAGTCACATCACCATAACGGTAAAACAGCTGTCACTAGGTTCTTTGAACTTGGCCTTTAAAACTGCAACCACTAAAGTATTTTGACTTTTACAGGTTTATTCTCTCAGAGAAAATGTGACATGTGCATGAGCAGTTACAAGCAACATCTATCTGAAAGTGCATTTATCATAAATATATCAAGGATTAACACAGTTTTCCTTTAAATCATTTATGAATAGTAGTTTATTAGTAAACAATTCCAAAAGTACAGTAAATACATGTGCCCTGACATAGAGTGCAGTAGTATCTATGTTGTTCTCATAAGTTATTATTACTTACTGTCACTGTATATACTCACCTGTTCACCATACAGTATGGGTCGGTTCAGGTTCATTCCCTTGATTGCCTCGTTTTGAGCTAATACGGTAGCAAATGCTATCACACTTTCCATACCCTAAAAACAGGTAAATCCATTAGGGAAACTGACAGACTGAGAAACTGACAGACTGAGAACCCTTGCATAAATAGTTCAAGGTCTGAAGTTCTGCTCCATCAAAATTTTGCTTTATAAAGGTTATGTATTTCTGGCTCTTGCAACTGTAGGTTGATGAAATTCAGAAATGAGTTGATACTCTTTTCTTTGTTCCCTAAAGACTAACTCCAACTTGCCTGGTCCGTTTCCTGGGTGCATGTGTAGGGCTTGTTCCCAAGCCTCGAGGTTCTGTGTGATTCATGGAGACTGAGATCTTGTGTGGTCAGACATACATGTGGATCTTAGCTGGGGCTCAGTATAGACATCCCTGTACAAGCATCCAGTGTTCCCCCACATACTCACATGTGTTGGGTGGTAGGAACACAATTACCTGCCACACTTTGTCATAGGTTCCACTGGCCTCCCTCTCTAACCCAAATGGCCACAACAGCCAAGGCTGACACACTGAAGGCAGGAACTTCACCTGAGCACCTGGGCCATCTACCACTGCTTTTTAGATGCCTTAGCAGGGAATCTGGATGGGAAATGGAACAGTAGTAACTAAAACCAATACTCATATGGGATGCTGGCTTTGCAGGCAGTGGCTTAACTCACTGCATCTCAACACCAATTCCACTTTTTCATTGTGAAAATCTGTTAGACTTCATATTTCATTATTCTTCCCTTCAGACTGCTGCCATAACTGAATGTACAAAATATTTCCTCTGTGTCATTTTTATATTAATACTTTCCCACGAAATCAGCTCAGTCTTCTACTCTAAAATTCTATCACTGTCATAAATAGAGGCATTAACTAACATGAATATCAAAGTTACTTCACCACGCAGGCAGTGCTTAGAGTGAGCAGCCTCTCCAGCTTCTTTGCCTGCAATGTTCTGTGAACTCTGCACATGGTGGCTTATCCTCACCTTCCAATACTCCAAAATATTGCCGCCTCAGGTTTTCAGTGACCGTCCTACCAAGCAGAATTATCTCTTCTCACTGTCAAAGTTCATCTTGATAGCATTTCTCTTGGTTTTCCTTTTTTTAGGATTTATTTATTTGAAAGAGTTCTAGAGAGGGACACACACACACACACACACACACACACAGAGCTTTCATCTGATGATTTACTCTTCAACTGCCCATAAATGGCCAGGGTTGGGTGAGGCTGAGGCGAAGAGTCGGGAACTCCACTGATTCTTCCATGTGGGTGCCAGAGTCCAAGCACTTAGGCATATTGCTGCCTCACAGGAGGCACATCAGCAGAGAGCTGGCTCAAAAGCAGAACACCAGGGACTCAAGCCGACATTCCAACAAAGCATGCCACAATTGCATGTTTCAGCTTAACACACTGCACCTTGGGTTGAATTTTTTAAAAGACTTACTTATTTTTTCTAAAGATTTATTTTATTTCATTAGAAATTCAGATATACAAAGAGGAGGAGAAACAGAGAGGAAGATCTTCCGTCCAAGTGTCACGCCCGAAGTGGCCGCAATAGCCAGAGGTGAGCAACCAGGAGCCAGGAGCCTCTTCTGGGTCTCCCACATGGGCACAGGGTCCCAGCACTTTGGGCCATCCTGCACTGCTTTCCCAGGCCACAAGCAGAGAACTGGATATGAAGTGGGGCTGCCAGGATTAGAACAGGTGCCCATATGTGATCTTGGAGTGTGTAAGGAGAAGACTTTAGCAACTAAGCTATTGTGCCAGACCCAGATTTACTTATTTTTATTGGAAAGGCAGATTTTTACAGAGAAGGAAAGACAGAGATAGAAAGAGCTTCCATCTGCACATTCATTCCCAAGTAAGTGTTATTTTTTCTTTTAGAAATTCCAATGTAAATTAAGATGTTCTAAGGATGCAAGTTTTAGGATTTTTTGTTGTTGTTGTTATATTGGGTAGTTTTCTACAGTATTTACTGTGACCTTATTAACACTCTATATTGTTAAACTGAGGGAGAGGAAAAACCACCTTCTCTCTGACATCTGACATTAGTGGCAAGATTACTCTGTAAGCCTATCATTTAGGCAATCCCAGAAACAATAGTGAATGTTGGGTTCCATGGTGGAATGACCCACAACCAGGGTGGTTTTCTCATAGCTTGTTCACTCACCAGATCACAGTCACCCAGATCTAATTTCTCTAAAGAAGAATTCATTTGCAACATGGTGGCAAAAAACATTCCACCTTTATTTTCAATCTTGTTTCCAGTCATGCGTAGGTATTTTAGAGTTGTATTTCTCTGGAAAGGAAAAAAAAAATGAAAACTCATTTAAGTTTTAATATACATAATCCTCTAAATTACATGTTGGGAAATGATTCACCTGTTTGTAGATTCATCAGTTTCTTATGGAGACATAATACGTTTCCTAAAGTTGACATTCGATTTCCCATAATAGATCATAATTGAGTTTAGCAGAAAGAATGTCCAAGAAATAGACACCTAAACAATATTTTTCCTCTAATGCAATATCTATACATTTATCCTCTAAGAAAATTATACTTTTGGGCCCGGCATAGTAACCTAGTGGCAAAGTCCTTGCCTTGCATGCACCAGGATCCCATATGGGCACTGGTTAGTATCCTGGCTGCTCCACTTCCTATCCAGCTCCCTGCCTATGGCCTGGGAAAGCAACCGAGGATGGTCCAACACCTTGGGATTCTGGTGTACCCGCATGGGAGAACGGGAAGAAGCTCCTGGTTTCAGATCAACTCAGCTCCGGCTGTTGCAGCCACTTGGGCAGTGAACCAACAGACAGAGGATCTTCTTCTCTGTCTTTCCTTCTCTCTGTAAATCTTATTTCCCAATACAAATAAATAAATAAATGAAGCTTTTAAAAGAAGAAAATTACACCTTTTTGTGTAGGTGAAATTGACAAGTAATGTCCATTTTATGGATAGATGGCAGTATATTCAACCATCAGTGAACACACACATGGCTTTTTCCTTTTTGGCTATCCTTATAATTAGATATTTCGGCAGTTGTGTGTGGCCCCATGCCTTCAATTATAGAGGTTGAATACCTAAGAATGAAATTGCTGCATCATGCTATAACTCTATTTTCTATTTTGAGAAGTTGTTTCCTGAAGTGACTGCACCTTTTCACAATTCTCCCAAATGTATGATCTTGTATGTGTTTTGTTGTTTTCATTTGTTAGTTTTAGCATAGGGGATTTTTGTGGATTTCTTGGGACTTTGTATAGAACACAAGATCATGCCACACACAGATAGAATTTTACTTCTTTCCTGGTTTGGATATTTGCTTGCTTGCTTGCCTAACTGCCTTGGCTAGACACTCCAGTGCAATGTTAAATAAGAAGCACGAAAGGTATATTTTCTTTCGGAACTTATGGTGAAATGAATGCATTTTAGTTATAATTAGATGCACTATTACGAATGTCCTATTTATTCCTTAGAAAAATGTAGTATCTAAAATTTTCTTGGTGAAATAATTCATTTTTAATAAAGGAGATTGAGAGATGGAATTCATCTTTGCAGCTGTCAGGGAAATTGAATTACTTTAAAAATTAGGTGGGGGAAGGAGAAGTGACCACTTAATGTGTATGGAGTCACCTTTGGGAAAATAAGGTATTGTGGAACTAGCTGCAAATGACGGCTGCACAGCATTCATACATCAAACACCTCTAGACTGCATTCTTCTGCTTGGCAATAAAAAGGAATGCAGTATAGGCATTGTTACAACATGGATAATCCTTGATACATTAAATCAATCATGAAGTCAAATATTGTGTGCTTCTACTCATAACCAAGCAAATCTATTTATAGAGGGTAGATTAATGACTGCTGGATACTGGGGAGCAGAGGGAGGGAAACGCAGGGAGTGCTTGATAATGGGTGGAGGGCTTCTTTCTGGAGTGGTGAAAGTATCCTAAAACCATTGATGATGGTGGTGATGCTCCTGTGAATATAACTTAAAAAAATATCTAGTGGAGCAAAGATTTTACCAAAGATAAACTATTTTTATATTTTTATATTTATATTTTTATATCTCAATAAAGCTGCTTATTTTTAAAATGAGTTTCCAAAAGTGTTCATCTAATGTTCAAGTTCAGTAAACTGAAGTAAAAATATGGTAAAAAATAAATTCCTATCATATTAAAATAAGTTCACATTAACGCTTAACTTTGTTGTTGTCAAGCTATCAGAGCTAAAATTCCTTAGAATTAGCTAGAAGTAGATAAATGCTTACACGCAGTACATTAGCAATCACTTCTGCACCATCAGGCCCAATATCATTAAACATAAGGTTTAAGTAAACAAGATACAACTGTTTCTGTAAAAAAGAGAGAGAAATTATTATACATGCCTTATTTATATTTGCACATATATACTCTCTCTCTCACACACATATACACACACGGTTTATTTTAGTAAAAATGTAACTCCAAAGGATTTACCCCCAAAAACTAAAATTTCAGAAAAGCAACTACCACTAAGGAAAAAAAATCACTATTCTCATTTAAAGGAAATACAATTGCAATATAAATGACAGAAAAGGCTACATTGTGATCAGCTGCTGGAAGTAGCTGTGCTTTTTGTGTTAACTCACAGAGCCTAGGTGGATAGGAGAACTCAGGAATCCTGGGTCCCAGCCCCAATAAGATACACGTTTCTAGGATATTTGAACTGTTATACATACAGCACGAAAAAAAAAAAAAAACTTTAAATACTATAGCTGAGTCTGAACCATTTGACATGTTGCAAAACTTGCGTTCTTGTATATGTCATTGGACCAGACAGGTTTCATTGCCAAGTGAGCCAAGCACAGTTTGTAGTGACATAATACCTGAATCAGCTTTGCAGCGTAGTATGCACCAACATCACTTAGGAAATTATATCTAACATCCAAACCTAAAGGATACAGAAGAATAGAAGCTGATACTCCTGGTAGAGAATGCTTCCAGAATCAGAAAATGCAAAGCAGTGGGTGCTGATTCTTCAGAAAACATACCTGAAACGTATGGATGATTTCTTAAAATTTTGGAAAGAATCCAAAAATCTTCACCTGTTACTCTTTCTACTGGTATTAAACGATTGTTGCCAGCAAAGTTTACTGTGATTCCTTTTTCCAATCTGTTCATGTTTTTAAAATTATTGAAGAAATTCAGTAAAGAAATAAATGTCATCATATGTAAACAGTAACATTGTATCTATTGGAACTAGTATATGGTATACACAGATAAAGATTTGAACGTCGTACAAAGAACACAAAGAATCCTCACGTTATAGATAACAACATGACCATGTCAACGATTTATCTAAATTCACCCAGGTCACCGGAGCTCTATCTGGAGCTCAGGCTTGGGGACTTGTGCTGGTGTTCTTCTCAGTGCCCTAAGACTTGTCAATAGTGCTGTGCACCTGCATGTTTATCAGTATCAAGAGACAGGTCCATCTTCTCAAGCATTTTCCACCAGCTATACAATCACTGAGTAGGCCAGGGATTGACAGAGGTGATAAAGTGTTGCTGTTTCTTACCCCTTTTTAATTTCTTCATCCACTTCTTGGAGGATTTGTAATACAAAACTGTTAACTTTCTGGTGTTTCTCCATACACAGGTTATAATAATCTTTGTGGAGTTTGGCAAGAGAATCTAGAACTTTTGAAAAAAAAAAAAAACAAACACATCTATCAACACATATAAATTATTCCAGAAGCTTTAAAAAACAAAGGGACTGACACTGGCATAGCAAGCTAAGCCTTCACCTATGGCACTAGCATCCCACACAGGTGCTGGTTTGAATCCTGATGTCTTTACTTTCAACCTGGCTTCCTACTAACGGCCTACTAATTGCTGATACCTCAAGTCCCCTGCACCCACAGGGAATCCTGGCTCCAGAAGGACCCAGCTCTGGCTGTTGTGGCCATTTGGGGGTGAGTCAGCATATAAAAAAATCTCTCTCTCTCCCTCTCTGTATGTGTGTGTGTGTTTCTACATCTTTCCTCTGTGACTCTGCCTTTCAAATAAAAATAAATCAGGGACCGATGCAATGACTCAGTGGCTAAATCCTCACCTTATACACACTGGGAATCCAGTTCGTGTCTTGGCTGCTGCTTTTCCCATCCAGCTCCCTGCTTGTGGCCTGGGAAAGCAGTAGAGACTGGTCCAAGGCTTTGGGACCCTCTACCCACATGGGAGACCTGGAAAAACTCCTGCCTCCTGGCTTCAGATCAACCCAGCTCCAGCCATTGTGGCCACTTGGGAGTGAACCAACAGACAGAAGATCTTTCTATTTGTCTCTTCTCTCTGTAAATCTACCTTTCCAACAAAAATAAACAAATCTTTAAAAAAATACTTTTATAAAAGCTTTTTTTTTTCAAATATGAGTATATATAGGTCATTAGAATGGAGACAGAATTTAAGAAAAAAACAGAAAAAAAGAGACAATTTAAGAATAGAAGAAGAAAAATAAACGTAATGGGAAAGAGAATAAAAATACATTTTGTAGAACAAGGGCCACGGAGGGTGGGTTCGGTCAGCAACTTAATTTGGCTGTGATGTGAAGAACTAAACTCCACTATGTAGCAAGTAGTGAGGAAAATGATGTTCAGAAACATTAAACATTTAGTTTGAAATCATGCAACTACTATGGGCAGAGTACAGACTGACTCCACAGTATTTCCACTCTGCTTAGTGAGTTACAGTAACTCAAGTTCCTTTATAACAGCCTCAAATAAAGAAAAGTTTACCTGATAGTCTAAGTTAAAACGAATCTGAAAAATACCCTAGTCTCATAACCTCCTAAACACCTTACAGAACACCCCAGCTTGGCAAAACCTTTGGAGGTGGCTGCTTCTTTGTTCCAAATCGAGGCTTGGTCCACAGCAGCTCTTCCTTTTCCTGGGAGCTTCCATATTCACTTCTCACTAAAGGAAACAAAACAAAGTCTCTCTCTCTCTTTATTCTATGCACTTTTTCTTAATGGTCTTCAAACAAAATCGATCTTTGCCCAGGTCCAGGTCTTTTGCTGCTTTTCTTAGATGCACAGGCAAGACATTGTTTTCTGTCCTTCTGCCTTTTCCTGTATGTCTCTTTGAAAACCCATGTGATGGGCCCAGCACGATAGTGTAGTGGTTAAAGTCCTCGCCTTGCACGCACCAGGATCCCATATGGGCTCAGGTTCTAATCCGGGTGGCCCTGCTTCCCATCCAGCTCCCTTGGGACCCTGTACCCGCGTGGGAGACCTAGAAGAGCTCCTGGCTCCTGGCTTCGGACTGACTCAGCTCCAGATGTTGCACTCACTTGGGGAGTGAACTAGAGGGATGGAAGTTCTTCCTCTCTGTCTGTCCTCTCTGTCTCTCCTCTCTGTATATCTGCCTTTCCAATAAAAATAAATAACTCTTAAAAAAAAAAGAAAGAAAGAAAACCCATGTGCTGAGCTCTCACTGCCTAATTAATCTGGTGTGTGCTTTAGTTTCTGTTTTTTAAGAAGTTGGCCTCTCCTCTAAGTACCTGCAATCTTAGGAATGTTTTTTGTTGAGTAGATTTCTGTACTATATGAACTGAAAAGTTTGCTAAACAGAAATGAAAGTCAAGATTTGGGAGAAGGAACATAATTGTCTGAAATGAAAGGAAATGAACTTTTCTTATGTATGTATGTCCCATACACGTACTCCCATTTGGACATTTCCATATCAAAAAGAAAACTGGCTCATCAGCTCTTCCCTGTCAGACAAGGAAGGAAGGAAGGGAGGGAGGGAGGGAGGGAGGAGGAGGAGAAGGGGAGAGAGAGGAGGAAAGAAAAAAGAAGGAAAGGAAGGAGGGAAGAAAGAAAAATTGTTAAGTTTCTGCTGTACTACTCTGCTGCTTTCCTTACAATTTAAAATTTGCTGTTTATTTTATGTCAGAATTTTACTGAACCAGTAATTTAATTCCCATACTATATTTATATTGGAAAAATCAATAAGTCATTCTTCAAACTATAAAGCAAAAAGAAAATAACCCAACTAGGCAGGAAGTGTCAAGAATCTAAGCCACACTGTGTTTTCCACTCTCACACCTCTGGCAGTGTGTTTGAACATCTCTAGGAAAGGGGCTCCCTTTGGACAAGTTCCCCTCAAAGTATTCTCTTATGCACGGGAGCAGCCAATTCCTGGAAACCCAAGGGAGTCAGACTTGATGGTTGCATCCAGGAACCTGCACTGTGTAACGGTAACATAGAGGGCGGACATGGCAATGTCCATCTACCAGCTTCTCTGAGGTTTATGTAAAAGGTTATGTAAGCGCACAGTTTTGCTTTTGCAAACGCACACTCTTTGCTTAACTTTCTTTTTTTAAAAAAAAAAGATTTATTTTTATTATTTTTTTTTATTGGAAAGGCGGATATACAGAGAGGAGAGACAGAGAGGAAGGTCTTCCGTCCGATGATTCACTCCCCAAGTGAGAGCAACGGCCGGCCGATGCTATGCCAATCCGAAATCAGGAGCCTCTTCCGGGTCTCCCACACGGGTGCAGGGTCCCAAAGCTTTGGGCCGTCCTCGACTGCTTTCCCGGGCCACAGGCAGGGAGCTGGAAGGGAAGTGGGGCTGCCGGGATAGAACCGGCGCCCATATGGGATCCCGGGCGTGCAAGGAGAGGACCTTAACTACTGCGCCACCGCGCTGGGCCCTGCATAACCTTCGAATACATCATTATGTTTATTTGAAAGGCATCCCAACAGAAACAGATCTTCCTTTAGGGGGCAGACTCCCCACATGCCAAGAAAAGCTGGAACTGACTCAAACCGAAGCCAGGAATTCAATCAGAATCTTCCATGGTGGTAGCAGGGGCTCAACCACTTGAGCCACTACGTTCTGCCCTTCAGGGTACGCATTAGAAAGAGCCTGGAGTTGAACTCAGGTGCTTCAAGATGGGGTGGGGCACCCCAAGCGGCGTCTTAAGTATTGTGCCAAAGCCTGCCCTGCTGCACACACAAACACACATACATCAAGTATTAACACGGAGATGGGGAAGCTGGGCACGGGGTGTGGTCGGGGGAGCAGCTGTTGGGGCTGACCTCACTATTCCACAGGCGCAGAGATACTGCGCCAAACAGAATGGTAAAGGCGCCAAGGCCGGAGGGATTCAAGGCCTGCTATCCAGTGCTTCCACGCAGAGGCCAAGAAGCTGCCTCCTACACACACCACGAACACACACCACCAGCACCACTACCACCTCACACACCAACCCCTTCCTCGACAGAAACACCTTCTCCGGATCACCGAGGACAGACGCAACGCCTTCCTTCAAGTCCCTGCCTCAGCTGGGGCTCCCTCTGCACCGCGCCCGCCCGCAGCCAGCTCCGGGGACTCGGCCCGGTGCCAAAGGACACCCTACTTCTTACTTCGTTCTTGTGACAGGGTCCAAACTGGAAAAGAGAACGGGGTGCGGGCGTGCCTGGAGGACTTGGCTGCCAGGCCCGGGGCGACACCCTCCATCCTGCCCGGGAGGCCGTGTAGGCCGCGGCGTTGCCATGGCGACCGCGCGCCCCGCCCCGGCGGGCCTCGCTGGAGGAGACGGGGCGGAGCGAGGGCGACGGCAGGTGCCGCCCGCGGCCTCTGGGATCCCGCTGCTGGGTCATCCTGCGCTGGGCTAATGGCTCACTGCGATGGCTCCCCGGCTTCTCAGCCCGGAGGAGTTAGCTCCTAGGCTTGGAGGCCTGGGCAGCTAGACGCGGATGCCAGTTCCTCCCTCCAAATGTGCACCTACTTGACAGGGACCCAAACCCCAAACGCTGGCGCCCGCACTGTTGAGGGCCTGGGGCTGTGGGATCATAAAGGGTTTGTGGAGGGCGCGGCCGTGGGCACGGCTGCTCCCAGCAGGGCCGCCCCCAGCAGGGCCGCCGGCACTGGGCCGCGGAAACGTGCGCGAGCGCGGGACTGCTCGGCGTGCGCTGGGGAGGCAGGTACTCGCGAGGACCCAGATGGGTACCGAGAGTGGGGAGGCGGGCAAGGCCGGATCCACGGGGAGTCCCGGCGTCCTCTGAGGAGCAGTTACGGAGCAGGGCTGTGGGAGTCGAGGCGTCCACCGCCAGAGCAGGAGAATGGCTCGCCAAAGCCCTTTTTGCGACTGTTGTTTTTTCAACTGCCTTTGGCTCCGAAGAATTCTTGTGCCAAAATGGCATGGGAAGGCTGGCGTATTCTGCCGTCCTTCGTTACTGTTCCATGATTCTCCGGTCTCAGGCCCATCAAGGCTGCTGTTGGCTTGTCTGTAATCCACTGGTTGTTAACGGGGAAACAGCTCGTGAGTGAAGTTCAAAGCCAAACTTTGACATTATGTTTGTTCATGGCAAATTATTATGCTATCCAGAGTCACACACCGTAGTAACCCAAAGGCCCTAGCGTAACTCTCCAGCTTAGGTAAAATCAAACTTGGAAATTTTGAAATTTGGAAAGTGTGAAGACTACTAAATGGTTTTCTCGGGTGTTAAAATCAGAAAACAAAGAGTAATTAAATTATCTACATTGTGGCTTCTTGAAATGAAGATGTATCATTCCTTTTCAATTATTTGAAAGGCAGAGAGAGAGATTCCCTCTATAATTATTGGGAATTCTATCTTGCTGGGTGAGTGACCCAACTACACCTGCTGACTCCCAAGGTATACATTAGCAGGCAACTAGAATCGGGCAGAGCCGAGACTAAAACTGGGCACTCTAATATGAGCTACAAGTATCTTAATTAGCTTGCCAAACCTATGGTTCACATCATGCTATTTAGAAACTGCCCCCACAGTTATGTCAGACTATAAATAAATAAATGAATGAATGAATGAATAAGTAATTAAGTAAGTAAAATCTGATCATGTCTAGGCAGGCAGTAATATTTAAGAAAACACAAATAATATCAATCTTGGGATTGTCACGTAGCTTAATGGGTTATGTCTCTGCCTTTAGTGCCTGCGTGCCATGAGGGCATCAGCTGGATGCTCAGCCTTTCCACTTCTTATAAAGCTCCTTGTGAATGCACCTGAGAAAGCACAGGACAGTCCAGTTGCTTGGGTTCCTGCACCCTTATGAGAGACCTGGAAAAGGCTCTTAGCGCCTGTTGCAACCTGGCCCAGCCCCTGCCATTGCCACCATATGGAGAGTGAAGTAGGAGATGGGAAGCGTTTCCCTTTCTCTCTCACTGCCTTTTAGTCTGTTTAACCTGTCTTTAAATTAAACAAATCTCTAAATCCTAACTTTGTAATCTTGGTTAAATCCAAAAATTGATCAACAGATTGATCTATGAATCTCAGAGAGTTGTCATCTTCATTCCAGACACATCTGGGTTATTGACAAAGATGAGAGAATGCAGGAACATACACAATTAGATATTCTAGCAGGTCTTATCATGGATCAATATAATCAAGGAGAATGAACCCTTTCTTTCATTTCATCTGTAATCAAAGTGACTGAATTTTCCCGGTGGGGGGAGGGTTTAGTAAATGCCATAAAACAAAGTCAAACCTGAAACCTCAAACTCTAGGAGAATGAGTTTAGTAAAGTCTTATGAACACATGATGTGAAAAATGAGGCAAAAGCGTATCAAATTCTCTGTTGCTATCCCTCTTCCTACTGTGTTTGGAGAAGAGTCCTTTTGCTTGGTCAGTGATTGTATTTGTAAGAAAGACATAACAGTGGTCTCCTCCATGGGAATATTGTGAGGAGATAACAGTTTAAGGACAATCTGGAGCACATAATGAATGTTCTATGTGTTCTATATTTTCTTCGATATTGTTCTCCTTCTCAGGCCAGATACTATGTATGAATAGTCTGAGAGATTGAAGCATTTCCAGATATTTTATTTAGGAAATCCTGGGGCCAGCACTGTGGCATGGGGGCCTAAATCTCCACCTGCCAGGCTAGCATCCCATATTGGCACTGATTTGTGTTCTAGCTGCCCCATTTTCAATCCAGCTACCTGCTAATGTGCCTGGGAGGATAGCCCAGTGCTTGGACTCCAACACCCACATGGGAGTCATGGAAGACCCCAGAGACCTCCTAACTCCTACTTTTGGATCAGCTCAACTCAATTGTTGTGACCCTTTGGGGAGTCACCTTACAACTCTGCTTTCCAAACAAAAATAAGTAAATCTAAAAGTGAGAGAGAGAGAGAGAGAAAAACGAAAAATTTTGACCTAGTGGACTGAACTAGATTAGACTAATTTAATCTTCCTGAAGACTGCATAACAACCACAACAGAAACGTTGAAGGCAGTTCAAAGCAGAATTGAATCAATAGGTAACCTTTCTTTTCTTCACATAGCAAAAGGCAGCAGTGTTCCAGAGCTCTATTTGAGGATAGGGGTAAAGTAACAAGGATCTGTACCACTTACAAATATAGAACAAGCATGTTAGGGGTGAGGCTGGAAAACACCCCCTTGGTCTGGGCACTAGCACTCCAGCAAGAAGGTGACCATCTGAAGAAGAGCAAAGATGCGAGAGTCATGCCGGCCACCGTTATGTCTGGATTCCTCCAGGTTGCCCTTTAGGCTCTGGAGGGGTCTATGTGTAGGTATTAAAGATGTGGTCTTCTGTAACACACAGTTACCATCTTACATTTATAAGTCTTCTGCTTTTTAGTCTTGAGCCAGTTTGGGAACTTCTACTAAAAAGAAAAAAAGCATATATGCTGAAATTTTGATATGGATTGCTTTGAAACTGCAAATTCACATTGGAGAAAAATGGACATTTCACATAACTGAGTATGCTGATCTGTGAGTACTTTATTTTCTTTCTGGATTGCAGTGTTACTGAATTATAATTCTCTGCCATTTCACTTTGTCCTGTTTAGGGACTGAAGCTCATCCTGATATCCAAGCTTATGATCCAGGCTCCTGTGGCTATAGAACCTACTTTTGGTTTCTAGCCCAGTCTATAAAATTCTCTAAGACCACTTAGCCAGAACTTGGTGGAGAGAACTGACACTGTATTTGAGGCTATTCTTGATCTTGACCCATTATGGCAACCCACACACATAGCTTTGCTGGCCTCTCCTAATCCTGCTACTCCCGCAGGCCTTTCTAGCTTCTTCATGTTCTAACCCCAAATTTGAAAACATGCAAGGGCTATCCACTGGTCTCTGTTTAAGGCTGGTCCATCTGCAGTGCGCAGTTCTTTTAGCCTTCTTTGAATTTGTAATTCTCTGGTAACTTTAACAACAACAACAAAAAAGGTTTTAAATATGGAAGATTTATATATATATTCAGTTTTAGAAGAGTAATCATGTGTTAGAGTCAGTATTGTGGCACAGCGGATTAAGCTGCCCCTTATAATTCTAGCAATCATTGATGAACATCTGTTTGAGTCCTATCTGCTCTGCTTCCAATCCAGTTCCCTGCTCATGATCCTAGAAAAGCAGTGGAATATGGCCCAAATCCTTGGGCTTCTGTGCCCACTTGGGCGACCCAGATGGAATTCTCGGCCCCGGCTTTGGCCTGACTCAGCTCCAGTTGTTGCGGCCTTTTGGGGAATGAACTAGTGAATGGAATATCTCTTTTTTTCTCTGTATGTCTCTCTGCTACTTGCCTTTCAAATAAACAAATAAATCTTTTTATTTTTATAAAAAGGAGAATAATAACCTTTGCAACCTTCTATGCCTTAGCTGGGAACAAGATAAAATAGGAACACATACATATTGTGTGAAAGAGGAATCTACATTTTAACTCTTTTCACATGAGGCAAAAACCTGCATTTCATATGGCTTTATACTTTCAAGTGCCAAGTTGAATCAACTACGTTATAATTTTGTTTCTTAGGGTTAGAAAGAATATCAGGCAAATTCTGATTTATTCTCCCTTTTTACAATATTACAGCTTTTGAGTCTTCACAGTTTCCCTCAACATAATGTCCAAGTACATTCTAAAATCAGAAGAACATTCATCTAAACTTTCTCAGAGCCATGACCTGCAACAGGCCAATGACAGGACATTTTTCATAGATGCTGCTAATCGGAACTTGATTGCCATCCCACCGGAGATACTAGCTCTGAAAGACTTGGAAGAAGTCCATTTGGAAAATAATCTGATTGAAGAAATCCCCAGGAATATCCAGCATTTAAAGAATGTCAAGATCCTCTACCTGAACAAGAACAACCTGAAGTGCCTGTGCCCAGAGCTGGGAAGCCTGGGCACCCTGGAGGGCCTTGATCTAAGCCACAACCCTCTCCTGGCCTCCTCCCTCCCAGTCATCAGCTACCTGCACAAGCTGCGTGAGCTCCGACTCTACCACATCAACCTGAAAGAGCTTCCCGCTGTCATCTGTAAGAGACTGCACCATCTGGAGCTGCTTGGACTGACTGGAAACCAGCTGGAGTCTCTACCCAAGGAAATAGTGAATCATACCAAACTGAGGGAGATCTACCTGAAGCAAAATCAGTTTCAGGTTTTCCCGCAGGAACTCTGTGTTCTGTACAACCTGGAGATCATTGACCTGGATGAGAATAAACTCAGCACCATCCCAGAAGAAATCGGGAACCTGACAAGACTGTGCAAGTTCTTTGTGGCTTATAACAACCTACCCGTTGTGCCAGATTCGCTGGGCCAGTGCGGAAAGATGTCAGTGCTCGATGTTTCCCACAACCTCCTCCAGTCCATCCCACAGACTCTGGAGCAGCTCACAGAGATGACAGAACTTGGGTTGAGTGGAAACTACCTGGAGAAGGTGCCGCGTCTCATCTGCAGGTGGACCTCGCTTCACCTGCTCTACCTGCAGGACACTGGCCTGCGGAGCTTGAGAAACTCCTTCAAGCGCCTGGTCAACCTACACTTCCTGGATCTCAGCCAGAACCATCTGGACCACTTTCCACCACAGATCTGTATGCTGAAGAACCTGGAAATCCTAGCACTGGATGACAATAAAATAGGACAGGTAGTGAACCCCTGGCTTTTATCCCACATTTTCCTGCCTGAGGTTGGTGTGACTGTCTAAAACACACTGACTTAATGGCTGAAGTCCAAGATTATCAAAGGTATCTAACAAGGTGGCACTTGCTGTGATCTTTTCTTCTAAGCAGCAATAGGCGTGGTAGGCAGGAGATAATGTTTGTTTACAACATGGTTGCTGCAGTCCCTAAGAGTATCTCATGCTATCCTCACAGTGACTTTTTGTCCTCAATGATATATAAAGAAATTAAGGGACAAAGTCTGGCTAACTGCCCCGGAAATGCCTGGTAGAGATAGAACCAGAGCTGCTGGACTCAAGGGTCCGTATTCTTAAGTGATCACTTGCTGCCAGAGTTTCCCCTAACAGCAGATTTTTCTGGCACACCTAGGACCCAGTGTTGCATTCCAGGGAAACTGAAAAACCAGATTTTTTTTCCAGGGAAACTCTAACACATGTATGTGAGGTTGCATATTTAAAAATGGCCATTGTTGATAATCATTTAGTTTGGGAAGCAATCAGCAGAGAAGCAGACAAATGAACAGTGGTGTATGCACCCAATATACAGTAACTTAAATATGGGCCTGTGTGGAAGGACCTCAAAGCTCTGATGTTTGTTCAAAAAAAAAAAAAGCACAAAATTGCAGAACCTTAACACCATGTATGCATTTTTAACTCACGCAAAACAACACCTGTAAATATATGCACATATACACAACACCTATTTTATGCATACTTATATAGGTAATAAAGATTTAAAAACATGGATTGGAAGAAAATTTACTACATTGCTGAGGCCTGGCTGCCTCTGGGGAGAGGAAATAAGGAAGGCAATGAAACAGGAAAGCAATCATAGGAAAATTCAATTTTAACTATTGTATTTTATTTTGTTTTTTAAAAGATTTGCATGGTGGGCACCCATGTGCTTATGTTAGTATTTTAGAGTTACAAAGCAAGGCTGAGGTAGGCATTTGTCACAGTGGTTAAGTCCCCTCCTCTCTCAATTCTAGCTTCCTGTTGATGTTTACCCTGGGAGGTGGCAAGTAAAGGCTGAAGCAATTAGTAATTGAGTCCTTGCCAACTACATGGTGATTGAGGTGGACTTCCCAGCTCGTGGCTTTGACCTGGCTTACCCCTGGGTGTTGCCAGTATTGGGGGAGTGAATAAATGGATAGAATTTCAATCTCTCTCTCTCTCAAATAAAATAAGCAAATTATAATAATAGTTTATTTTTAAAAGAGTTGCTATTAAAAGCAAATGACAACTATAGAGAAAGAAAAGGGATGAATTGGAAATGACTTTAACCAAAGGTAGATCTGCTTTTCTTGACCTGGGAGCTCTCTGTGTTAGCATATATTGTATAAATGGTAGACGTTGAAGTCTTTTAAATCTTCTGTTTGATTTTCTAGAATTAATTTTTTTTCCCTACTTGTTATTGGGCTTTACAACTGCCTGACAGAAAGTCAAGGTGTTGCTGGTAAATGGAAAAGGTAGACAAAGAATCTAGGCCAAAATCTACTGGCATTTAACCACCTGGGGGAATTTCAAGGTTGTGTGAGCACCCATCCTCACAATATTCCACCACAGATGTGAGAATGTCCTTTTAGAGGACAAAGTCTTTCATTCCAGAGTATGTTCAAGAAGGATAACACATGATAATTCCTATTGAGTCCTGAATAATACCTAATCCTTTCCAGAGACACATTATAAGAGATCAGAGGAGTGAATTACATTCAAACTGCTGAACAAAGGCAAGCTTCATCCAGTACTGACTTTACACGAGTCCAACTACACTGAAATGAACCTCAGTACCATAGCATTGTATTCTTTGGTCATGCTATGACGTTTGTGAGGGCTTTTGTCCTCCCCTTTCAGTTCACTCTCACATTGTGCTATGCCCTCTCCAGGTGTGTCTCTCCTCACTGGTGTTTAAGTCAGTGCTATATCTCTACCACTGCAAACTTGACTGATGGATTTCTAACCTTTGAAGCCTAGTCAGTAGCCTCTTATGGCCTAGATAGGTGCAAAAAGAATTACTGACTTTTAACATACTCCTACATAGATTTTTAAAATTTATTTATTTTTATTTTGATGATTTTTACATACTTGGTCAAGGACTTGAGGAAAGTGGGTAAAATCATTGTTTCCACCTTCTCCTTTTTCCTTCCTGTATCTGAGGGAAAGAGGGAGATGAAAGGAGAAAACACACCCAGCCCGCCAACCACCTCAGAGCCACCAATGTGGGGCATGCTCCAAGGGCACTGTTCAAATGCTTTTTGATAGTTCAACAGTTCTGTATTGCTGCATGACACACCACTCCAGGCACAAAAATCTCTCCAGAATCCACTAGTTGACATTAACCTCATTAGAGTCTCCGTTTGCCCAGGTATTCACTGCCAACACTTGCCTGGGGTAGTTGATCAATTTCTTCTGTCCTCCATCTTCTGTTTTTGTATCAGGTGTCCCTTGCATGTTTCAGTGTACTGCCATGTCCTCCATGTGCACCTGATTGTGCTGTCCACTGTTTCGTCTAAGACACTGAGGAACCCAGCTCCTCATAACACTCATAATTAGACCATGGAAACTGCAATTCTCTCCATGGTTGGGGTTCTGAGTCCAGTGGTTCAGTTGGGGGAACCCCCAAAGAAACCTCATCTGAGGTGATCCCAGAACTGATTCCTGTGTGTGCTTGCCAGTCAGCAGATGTGCACACTGATGGTTGCAATTGCTGGGGCAGTTGTGTCTCCACCAATGGGTGCTGCAGCCCAGCCTGGTCCTACCCACCACACACTTGGCCCCACACAAACCAGTGGGAGTTCAAGACTAGTTGGAGTGACTCACAATAACCGTGGTTCCCATTCTTGCCAGTATGTACAGCAGACTGCTCCAGTCTGTCCCACATCCCATTCAGCTCTCATACATGTCAATGGGCACTGAAGCCTAGTTCAACCCTACCAGCCCCAACCCAGCCCACACACATGCTGGATGCCACTCTGTCTAGCTATGCCTGTGCCAGTCCTGGTTCTCATGTTCACCTGTCAGAGTGGCAACCCAAAAGGGAGGTGCCCTCTGTTTCCCTAATGGGCCCACTGCCACTCCCAGATCTTGCACTCTCCAGGTGGTTCTGTATTTTAACTTGACAGCATCTGCCTGCTGATGTTGCGGCAAAGCCCAACCAACCCACACCACTCTGACTTGTGTATGCACCAGTAGGAAGAGTCAACCGGCATGGCTTTCCCCTGATCCAGCTCATATGAAATCAACAGATGTTGTAACCCTGCCCAGCCTGGTCTGCTTCCATCCCAGCTCTCACTCTCACCAGTGGGAGTATTGGTCCTGTACTACATGGATTCTTAAAAATTATTTATTTTTCCTGGAAAGGCAGATCTACAGAGAGGGGAAAAGATAGAAAGATCTTTCACCCGCTGGTTCACTCCCAAGTGGCTACAATGGCCAGTGCTGAGCTGATCTGCATCCTGTAGCCAGGAGCCTCTTCCTGGTATCTCACTTGAGTGCAGGGTCCCAAGGCTTTGGACCAGCCTCTGCTGCTTTCCCAGGCCACAGGGATCTGCATGGGAAATGAAGAAGCTGGGATATTAACCGGCACCATATGATCCTGGCACATGCAAGGTGAGGATTTACCCACTGGGCTATTGTGCCGGGCCCACCTACATAGATTTTTATATGTACCTTGCTACTAAGAGAAAGCCAAGATGACATACTCAGTCTTAAAATGATGGCAATCCAATTAAGTGTCAGCACAACTGTCTTTATTTGATGCTCTTCAGATCTAATGTCCTTCCAGAATTATCTCCCTTATACTTTGATGTATGATGGAGCTTTGGAACTTTGGCTATCCTGAAAAGTCTGAACCTTCACTGTACTTTGACAAATGAAGTTGAGGCAGACATTTGGCCTATGGTTAGTGCATTTGGGGATGCCCATATTCCATAGTGGAGTTCCTGGTTTTAAGTCCACCTTCACTGCTGATTCCAGTCCTTGCTAATGCACAACCTGGAAGTCAGCTCAAGCAGTCAGGCTCAAGTAGTCAGGCATGGGAAACATGGATTGATCTGCTGCATCAGCCCTTGCTAAGTTGGCATTTGTGGAGTGAGCCAACAGATGGGAGCTCTATCTTGCTGTGCTTTTTGGGTGGGTAAAGTAAATAATTTTTAGAAAGCTAAACCTAGATCCCAACGCGGTAGTCTAGTGGCTAAAGTCCTTGCCTTGCAAGTGCAAGGATCTAATATGGGGGCCAGTTCTAATCCCAGCGGCCCAGCTTCCCATCCATCTCCCTGCTTGTGGCCTGGGAAAGCCATCGAGGATGCCCCAAAGCCTTAGGACCCTGTACCTGCTTGGGACCTGGAAGAGATTTGGGTTGGTACATCCCAGCCGTTGCTATTGTTTGGGGAGTTAATCATTGGATGGAGTATCTTCCTCTGTGTCTTTCTTCCTCTTTCCTCTTCTCTGTATATTTAACTTCCAAATAAAAATAAAAAATAAAAAATAAAAAGGAAAGCTAAACCAGAAGCTGTTATTGGTTATTTCTCTAAAAGTGCATTCGCAGGAGGCTGAATGGGAAACACATTGAGTCCAGACTGGAACCAGGCTCTGAAATATGCAATGCTGGTGTCCCAAGCAGTGATTTACTACTGCACCAAACACCTGCACTTGCTGCTCAACTTCCTCTTTAGTAATCTGTCCCAAACCCAAATCCCAATTTGTTTGCTGATGACTCATAATGATCTCACCTGAAACTTTTCTTTTTGGATTATTTCTAGTTACCTTCAGCATTGAGCTTACTCTCGAAACTAAAGATTCTTGGACTCACAGGAAATAATTTCTCCTCCTTTCCAAAGGAAGTCTTCTCCTTGGTGTCGTTAGAGAAATTATACATTGGACAGGACCATGGATCCAAGCTTACCTATTTGCCAGAAATGATTGAGAAACTACAGGTAAATCTTGCCAAGTGAACAGGACAAACAACACAGTCCAAGTTACTCTCACAGGTTGAATACCACCTTTACTGAATTCCCAGCTCCAAACCAACCGTAACTTTACCATATCAGGCTTTCACTGTCACAAGTCAACTCACATCTGACAACAACTGCAGTTAGGTATATATAGAGCCGTCTTTCTTTCTTTCTTTCTTTCTTTCTTTCTTTCTTTCTTTCTTTCTTTCTTTCTTTCTTTCTTTCTTTCTTTTCTTTCTTTCTTTCTTTCTTTCTTTCTTTCTTCCTTCCTTCCTTCCTTCCTTTTTTTCTTTCTTTCTTCCTTCCTTTCTTTCTTTCTTTCTTTCTTTCTTTCTTTCTTTCTTTCTTTCTTTCTTTCTTTCTTTCTTTCTTTCTTTCTTTCTTTCTTTCTTTCTTTCTTCCTCTTCCATCTTTTTAGGATTTCTTTATTGTTGTTGAAAAGCCATATATACAGAGAGAAGGACAGACATAAAGAAAGATTTTCTGTCCACTAATTCACTTCCCAAGTGGCCACAACAGCTGGGACTGAGCTGAGCTGAAGCCACATGCCAAGAATTTCTTCCAGATCTCCCTTGCGGGTGCAGGGTCCCCAGGCTTTGGGCCATGCTCAACTGCTTTCCCAGGCCACAAGAAGGGAGCTGGAACATCCAGGACATGAACTGGCACCCACATGGGATCTGGCACTTGCAAGGTGAGGATTTTAGCCACAAGGCTACCACGCAGGGCCCTAATTGTGGTCTGGCATGTTTTACCTGTCAAAATTGAGTCATACTGCTTTCCACTTATTTTTCACTATGAATAAGTAGCCCCCTGCAAACTATACTATTTTGAATTATACATCATGTAATTGACAGGAGTGGGAACCTGAATTTGGATCCTGAAGGGACAGTCAGAGCACTCTCTCTCTGTTCAGTGGCAAAGCAATGATACTGTCCTAGCTTCCTGCTAAGAGAAGTCCACAGTGCTGCACTGATTCCTAGTGAGGCAGCACTACTTCATTCAATGATTGCTACTGGTATGCCTTTGCAAATTCAGCCTTAATTTTTACTGGACCCATAATGATATAGATGTGGACTACCAGATAGACCCTGGTTATGGAACCAAACAATGACATATAGAGTACAAATAACTCTCATTTTCTTTGCTCTTTCTTGTACATGTTATGTCACAATCATATTTAGGATGAAATAGTTAAATATAGTCAAACTCATATCGGTGCATTTTATCTACTTCCATTATGACAAAGTTGGGTTGATACTTTGCTAATTATGTAGCAAGTTGCAGCGGTAATTTGTCCTTAACAGGCTGGTATTATGGCAAAGCAGGTGAAGTGGCTACCTATGACCAGCATTCCACATAGATTCCAATTCATGTTCCAGCTGCTTCACTTCCAATCCAGCTCCTGATAATGGCCTGAGAAAACAGCAGAAGATGGTCCAAGTGTTTGAGTCCTTGCCACCCACATAGGAAACCAGGATGAAATTCCTGGCTCCTGGCTTCAGCCAGAGCCAGTCTGGTGGTTGCAGCCTTTTGGGAAGTGAATCAACAGATGGAAGATTTCTCTCTTTCTCTCTCTATAATTCTTGCAAACATAAATAAGTCTTTCTAAAAATGAGTCATTGGGCCTGGCAGCGTGGCCTAGTGGCTAAAGTCCTCGCCTTGAACGCGCCAGAATCCATATGGGGGCCGGTTCTAATCCTGGCAGCTCCACCTCCCATCCAGCTCCCTGTCTGTGGCCTGGGAAGGCAGTCGAGGAGGGCCAAGGCTTTGGGACCCTGCACCTACATGGGAGACTGGAAGAGGTTCCTGGTTCCCTGCTTTGGATCGGCAGCACTGGCTGTTGCACTCACTTGGGGAGTGAACCATCGGTCGGAAGATCTTCCTCTCTGTCTCTCCTCCTCTCTGTATATCTGACTTTGTAATAAAAATAAATAAATCTTTTAAAAAAAGTGAGTCATTAAAAGGGAGCATGGTAAATGATAAAAATTATTTTCCCCTGAAGTACTATTGAAGCAGATAAGCATAATATTCCCACAGCCCCTTTCCTTGTGTTAGAGAAAACCAAGTATAATGACTTCACTCAAAAATAATTTTTAAATTTTCATCTTTTAAGTATGTTTTGCCATTTATCCCAATGCATGATTTTTCCAGTGAAACTGCACAGGTATTTGTGGATGATTTTGGTTGTTTTAATTCATTTGTCTGGGTAAGGATCATTGAGGTATATTCTTGAATTATTTCAGAATCTTAAAGAGCTGTATATAGAGAACAATTACCTGGAATGCCTGCCTGCATCCTTGGGTTCAATGCCTAACCTGGAAGTTCTTCTGTGCCAGCACAATTTGCTTAGGAAACTCCCAGATACCATTTGCCAAGCACAAGGTAAGAAACTTACTAGCTTAGCAGACTTTGAGGCCAGGATTCCTCTCACTCTCCCTGTTTTTTTTTTTATTATATTTTTTACAATCTTTACATAGTTAATTAGGGTAAAAACGTTCAAGGGCTACAGGAAAGTGGATAAGACTATTACTTCCACATTGTTTCCTTCATTTATCTGAGGTAAAGGGGGATATTGAGTGAGAAGCCCCACCCAGCTTGCCACCAACCCCAGGCCCCCCGATGTAGGGCATGCTCTGAGGGTCTTGCTCAAGTGGTTTTGATAGTTCAACAGTTATGAATCGCTTCCAGTCTCACCACTCCAAGCACGATGTGGTCGTTGAAGAATCCACTGATTGACATAGTCCATCAGAGTCTCCGTTTGCCCAGTATTTTCATTGCCAACATATAGCTGAGGTGGTTGATTGACTTGTTCTATATTCTGTCTTTTCTTGGTTAGGGTTCCTAGTCCGGCATTTTGATTGGGGAGATCCCCAAAGAAACTTCGTCTGAGATGTTCCCAGACAAGATTCTTTTATGTACTAGCAAGAACAGGTCCCAGTACAGTCCATCACCCCGATCAGCTGGTGGTTGTGATCACTGGGTTGGTTCTGTTTTTAGCCCCAACTTCCACTGGACTAGTGGGTGTTGCAGTCCAGACTGGTTCTGCCCCAGCACATACTCAGCCCTCACATAAACCAGTAGGAGCTGCAGCCTAGTTGGAGCGACCCACAATAACCCCAACCAGGCCCACCCCCTACCCTGGTTTGCCAGTATGTGTAGCAGACTAGTCCAGTCTGTCCCACATCCCCTTCTGCTCTCATACATGTTAATGGGTATTAAAACTTTGTTCCATCTAGCCAGTTCAACTATCCATCCCTCACGGATGTTGTTGGGTGTCACTGTCTAGCCACCCCAGCTCCTGTGCTAGTTTTCGTGCCCTCCTATGGAAGTGGTAACCCAAGAGGGAGGAGCCCATTATTTCCCTCCCAGGCCTCTCCCACTCCCAGATTATGCACTCTCCAGGTGGTTCTGTGGTTTGACTTGACAGAACTAGCCCCCAGTGCCAGCATCCGCCAGCTGATGCTGTGGCTAAGCCCAAACAACCCTCACCCACTCTAATTTTGTTTGCACCAGTAGGAATAATCAGCCCAGCCTGGCTTTTCCCTGATCTAGGCCACATGAGGTGCACAGGTATTGTAGCTTTGCTTAGTCTGCTCTACCCCCATCCCAAGTCACGCTTTCCTGTGGACTAGCTGTCCAGCAAGGGTATCTCTACTGGTTCTGCCCCCTCCCTTCCTGGTTCTCAAGTGTGCTGGTTGGGCACTGTGGTCACATCTGGCACAGGCAACCTCACTTTGGCATTCCATAATGTGCACTAGTTTTTGTCTCGACCGAACCTGGCTCTACCTACACTGTTCTGGTGCTTGGATTTGCCAGTGAATGACGTGAACTGATTCAGCCTGGTCTGCCCCCAACCCATGCCAAATGTATGCCAGCGGGACACTTTCCATGACCTCCTGGCTATTTCCTTCCATGCTTCTTGCGCTAACCTGTAGGGTCTGTGTCCTGCCAGAGGAGTTTCCCGCGTTCCTCCATCAGAACCCCTCCAAGTGCCATATTTCGCACATACCAGGGGGTCTATGAGCCAGCACTATTCAGTTCACCTCCTGTCCTAGCAGGAACAGTGGCTTTTCCTCACTGGCCTTCAACCCAATCTGGTGCTTGCTGTTCGATGTTTCAGCCCAGCCATGAGGCCAGGATATCTCACAATGAATCCTTTGTTTGCTTTATTAAGGATTCTTCTTAGTGTATGGGTAGCTGAAGACTAAACCATGACCTTTTTGCAAGGCTTGCTGCTCAAATTCAGGAACCCAGGTGCCATGATTACTGCAGCTCAGAGCCTCAGAATCACAGTTAGCTTGTTTTCTGAGTATTAAAAACAGCAGTAAGTGGGAAATGCTGAGAAAGTCAGCTTTCATTCATTCACTCAGGACAACACCAGTTACCACTTACTGAGTATGATTGTATGCTAAGATTTGGAGTTGCGGTCCTGCAGCAGGTTTTCATCCAGGTCACATAAGTAGACAGAACAGTATTGACCTACAGTAGGGAAATCAGCAAAGAGGTATTTTGGAGCTATGTGATTGATATGGAAACTCATATGTGATTCCTAAACATTAAACCATATCGGGGTCCCTCGTCCCGTGAGCAAGGCCCCGATATAGTAAAGATTCTTTAAAAAGTTTATTGGTCAAGACTTCAAGCGTTGTGGCAAAGTGAAAGCAGTCACAGCACTTGTAAGATTTATTACAGTAAAGCAAAAGCAGCCTAGTGCTAGCTAGCAATAGCCTTGAAGTGATAGCGATAGCTCTAGCTCTAGCTCTAGCCTTGAAGCGCGCCTGGGAGAATCTCATTAACTATTTTTCACCCAGACCTTTTTACATTACACAAACCAATCCATACACAGTTCCTCACATCATGTGATAAGCACACCAATCACCAATAGCTTCCCTGCATACTCGGCCCAATCCTCAGTAACTTCCCAAAACCTGTTTACCACCTTTGTGCCACAAAGCAATGGTCAGCAAGCGCCATCTTTGAGGCGCGGCTCCGCTCTCCACAAAACCACATCAACTCTACCCTCCGGCTCATCCATCAGCCCATCCATCAGCATCATGAGCCTCACTGAGTACCTACTGGAACCATATTAAAAGGGTTTTTGGTCATAGTATGCTGAATCCCCAGGGTTGCAGATGTTTTCAAACTTTGAGTATTCTCTGATGAAAGAAGGATGAAGGAATAGAAGAGTGAAAATTCTGGCCTACCCATCAGACATTTAAAAATTTGGAGTGAGGTAGTACTCCTTAATAAGGATCTTAAACATAAATTTCTGCCCTTGTTCTTGGTCCCTAGAAGACTGAAGCATTATCAGAAATATTCAGTGTTTAGTAGTTTAGTAGTATTTATTTACACTAGCTTAAACAATTTTGAATCATTATAAAAAAGACAACTTGGTTTGCCAGATTGAATTCATTAGTTGCATGGTACAGCAAGCAATAGCATTTAAAAGTAAATGAAGAATGTGTATTTTAATTTTGTTTGCCATCTTTTTCCCCCTTTTAAGTTTATTTATTTATTTATTTATTGGAAAAGTAGTGTTACAGAAATAAAGAGAAAGACAGGGAAAAACAGAAAGATTTTCCATCTGTTGGTTTACTCCCCACATGACTGCAATATTCAGTGCTGGGCAGGCCTAAACCAGGAGCTTGGAACTTCACTCAGTGTCTAGTTCTTAGGCCATATTTCTCTGCCTTCCCACGTACAGTAGTAAGAAGCTGAATTGGAAGTGGAGCAGCATGGACACATACAGGTGCATGTTTGGCATGCCCACATTACAGGCAGGGACTTGTTCTTGCTCTAATGCACAGAACTTATGTTCATCAAATAGTCTGATGATAAAATTTATTCTATTTATCTTAACTTTTGACCAAATAGAGAAAATTGACTGAATTCATAGGCATTTGTTACTAAGTATGATTTAAATGTTATCTTTTCTCTTTTCCCATCTCTGTTTAATTGTGGAAACTATACATGTTGTGTTTAATTTACATTTCTTCTGGGTAATATGCTAAGCATCTCTCCCACACCTCACAGATGTTTTTTACATCTCTTTCAATGCCTTATTTAAGACAGATCCTTACGCTAAAAAACAGACTCAGGCCACTCTACATAATATAATGTCATCTTACTTTAGACAGAGATGTGTTTTTGTATCTGTAGAACTCCTTGTGCCTAGCAATATTCTGTAAGGATTCACAGCCGTGGTTCTGGTGACAATTAAGATGTGACTGATCTGATGGGGGAAAAAAAAGAGGAAAAAGATTATTTTTATCTTTTTTTTTTTCTTAAGATGTATTTATTTGAAGAGTAAAGTTACAGAGAAAGAGACAGAGAGATAGAAATGTTCCATTTACTTGTTCACTTCTCAATTAGCCACAACAGCCAGTCTGGGCCAGGTCAAAGCCAGGAACCTGAAACGCCAATCAAGTCTCCCACTTGGGTGCAGGGGACCAAATACTTGTGCCATCCTCCTCTTCTTTCCAAGGGAGCACTAACAGGAAGCTGGTTGGGAAGTGAAGCATCTAGGACATTCTGGTGTCCCAGGTAGTGGCTTTAGTCACTGTACCACAGCTCCAGTCGCTTTTTGCTGTTTTCATATGTGCACATTTTTGTTTACACCAGGTTACATCTATTACTTATTTGTTAGCGGAAACATTTAGTGGTTTGCTTCACAAATTAATTTGATTATTAATTTGGGAGAAGTAGGGAAATCTTTCTGGGAGTCAGATACCACCCATGGTACTGACTTTTGGGATCATGCATGTAATATCAACATGCCAAAGCCCGGCATAATAACAGGAAATAGACTGGTAGGAAAGTGGGTCCCAAAGAGTCAGATCTAAGAAAGTTTTTGCCGCTGGGTTGCTCTTTACCTCTAAATCAGGTAGGGGGGAGTAGAGAAGGAGGTAGAGGAAAAAGAAAAGAGGAGAAGGCAAAAGAGAGAAAAAGAAAAGGAAAAAGAAGAAACACTCATACAGAGAAAAAGTACGTGAAGACTGGATTTCTGTTTGCTCCACAGGAGTGCTGCAAAAAGCTTATTGAACAATGTAATAAAAAGATAAATTGATTTTAGTGCAAGCACATTTTGATGCCACACATATTTTTCTCATGATATGCATTTGCACGAACTTTTTAACATTCCCCATAGACATTTATTTTATTTTTTTTAATTTATTTTTTTAAATTTATTTTTGACAATCTTTACATGGTTAATTTGGGTAAAAAGGGTCAAGGGCTACAGGAAAGTAGGCAAGACTATTATTTCCACATTGTTTCCTTCTTGTATCTGAGGTAAAGGGGGATATTGAGGGAGAAGCCCCACCCAGTTTCCCACCCACCCCAAGTCCCGCATGTGGGGCATGCTCTGAGATACTGGCTCAAGT